GAGAAAATTGGATAGTTTTTTCCAAGAAGTGGACCAACCGGATTAGTGGATACGTGGGTCTGCGGTCCGTTCCTAGCAACAGCTTGTTGGATCAAGCTCTCACAAGTCAAGCCGGGTCCTCAAGCCGGGCTTGTGAAGTAGAAGTCCCAACTATAGCGTCCAAGCAGGCACAGTCAAGGTTAAGACTCCTCCTACGGGGCTTCCCATCTATATTTATTGTGCCTGAGACTGCTCCATCGATGATAACTTTGTATTCTCTACCTCTGAGACACTCTTCAATCTGTCTCACGAGTCTTCCCCCTGACACACACACGTACATTCAACCTCATACAGGATTGCACTCCTGTATGCCTTATCAAGAGCTTCTTCTATGTCAAGAAACAGAATACTCGACTGTGTCATTGGCTAAATAATATAATATACAATTAGCTTTGCTCCGTCCATTAACAGATCCGTTAAGCCCTTCTCCTAGTCCACTCGTTTGGTGCGAGAGGCGATGCAGGATAAGCCTTTCAGATGTCTTGAACGTGTTTGATACGGTACTAACAGGCGTGTAATTACCAGGGTCTTTGGCTTTCCCGGATGGGGACAATTACTCCAAGTTGCCATTGTGTGGACAACACTCCACTCAAGTGTGACCTATTGAAGAGATGGAGTTTTTGGTTCTCTGAGACTTCACATGGTGTATTGTGTGTGACTGTGTGTGTGTGTGTGTGTGTGTGTGTGTGTGTGTGTGTGTGTGTGTGTGTGTGTGTGTGTGTGTGTGTGTGTGTGTGTGTGTGTTATAGACTCAGTTCCCAGTCCTTGTAAACATAGAATCATAAGAATGTGTATAGATATATTTATGTACAATAGTGACGTAGTAATAATGGAGACAGTTCGTCTCTCTGAACACTTGTTGAGGTTAATGGAACAGAGAGGTAATTATCAGGAGTAACGCTAACCCAGTACAACCCAGTGCAACCCAGTACAACCCAGTGCAACCCAGTACAACCCAGTACAACCCAGTACAACCCAGTACAACCCAGTACACCCAGTACAACCCAGTACAACCCAGTGCAACCCAGTACAACCCAGTACAACCCAGTACAACCCAGTACAACCCAGTGCAACCCAGTACAACCCAGTACAACCCAGTACAACCCAGTACAACCCAGTACAACCCAGTACAACCCAGTACAACCCAGTGCAACCCAGTACACCCAGTACAACCCAGTACAACCCAGTACAACCCAGTGCAACCCAGTACAACCCAGTACAACCCAGTACCCAGTACAACCCAGTACAACCCAGTGCAACCCAGTACAAGTACAACCCAGTACAACCCAGTACAACCCAGTACAACCCAGTACAACCCAGTACAACCCAGTGCAACCCAGTACAACCCAGTGCAACCCAGTACAACCCAGTACAACCCAGTGCAACCCAGTACAACCCAGTACAACCCAGTACAACCCAGTGCAACCCAGTACAACCCAGTGCAACCCAGTACAACCCAGTACAACCCAGTACAACCCAGTACAACCCAGTACCCAACCCAGTACAACCCAGTACAACCCAGTGCAACTGTACCCAGTGCAACCCAGTACAACCCAGTACAACCCAGGCAACCCAGTGTACAACCCAGTGCAACCCAGTACAACCAGTGCAACCCAGTACAACCCAGCAACCCAGTGCAACCCAGTACAACCCAGTACAACCCAGTACAACCCAGTACAACCCAGTACAACCCAGTACAACCCAGTACAACCCAGTACAACCCAGTGCAACCCAGTACAACCCAGTACAACCCAGTACAACCCAGTACAACCCAGTGCAACTGTATTGGACTGGGATGGCACATGAGGACGAAGAGCTGGGATATGAGGTCAATGAGCTGAGATATGAGGACAAGGAGCTGAGATATGAGGACAAGAAGCTGAGATATGAGGACAAGGAGCTGAGAAATGAGGACAAGGAGCTGAGATATGAGGACAAGAAGCTGAGATATGGGGACAAGAAGCTGAGATATGGGGACAAGAAGCTAGGATATGAGGACAAGGAGCTGAGATATGAGGACAAGGAGCTGAGATATGAGGACAAGAAGCTGAGATATGGGGACAAGGAGCTGAGATATGAGGACAAGGAGCTAGGATATGAGGACAAGGAGCTGAGATATGAGGACAAGGAACTGACGTATGAGGACAAGGAGCTGGGATATGAGGACAAGAAGCTGGGATATGAGGACAATAAGCTGGGACAGGACAGAGGGAAGGAACGGTGCCCAACGATTTGGATCGTCGAGGATCGAACGCCGACCTGCAAGAAACGAGGCTGTTGCTGTACCATACCAGTCCAAGTGGCTGAGTGAAGGAACAGAGATAAAGGCTAATTTTATTGTGAAACTGATAATAGAGTGATAACTTTGTCTTTGGGGGGGGGGGGTAAAGGCATTATCAGGTGTGAAGAGGGCAGGTGTGTGTTGATCTTGTTAATGCTTTTCTTCACAGTTCATGCTCACTACAATTTGTTTATGTAAAGCCAATTTTAAAGTTCTTCCCTGACTACACAACGATGCTGACCATATTGGTCTGATAGTCACCCTTACCTTGAGGTTACCTTGAGGTGCTTCCGGGGCTTAGCGTCCCCGCGGCCCGGTCGTCGACCAGGCCTCCTGGTTGCTTATGGTGTCGACCCTGTCTTATGGTGTCACTTATTTTAGAAACAAAAAAATGCTAACAGTTATTAAATTCCGATAGTGGTTATCTTGAGATGATTTCGGGGCTTTAGTGTCCCCGCGGCCCGGTCCTCGACCAGGCCTCCACCCCCCCCCCCCCCAGGAAGCAGCCCGTGACAACTGATTAACACCCAGGTACCTATTTTACTGCTAGGTAACAGGGGCATAAGGTGAAAGAAACTCTGCCCATTGTTTCTCGTCGGCGCCCGGGATCGAACCCGGGACCGCAGAATCACAAGTCCAGCGTGCTGTCCGCTCGGCCGACCGGCTCCCAGGGTGTGACAGTCAGAGAAATATAAAAGGCAGAGACACTGGGGAATGTCCTAAACAATTGTTACAGAAATTAGGAAAATTTCTAAATCGTTAGAAAAAAAAAGGAATTTCAACACACCCTGGGATGAACAGTTATCTGTTACGGGACTGTAACACCTCAATCACCATGACTACCCCGCTGGTCAACACACCTGTAACTCTGTAACACTCTGCGGTGATCATCACTCGCTTTTTTTTTTTTGAGATATATACAAGAGTTGTTACATTCTTGTACAGCCACTAGTACGCGTAGCGTTTCGGGCAGGTCCCTGGAATACGATCCTCGCCGCGAAGAATCGTTGTTACAACCAAGTACACATTTTACTGTTGCGTTAAACAGAGGCTACAGTTAAGGATTTGCGCCCAGTAAATCCTCCCCGGCCAGGATACGAACCCATGACAAAGCGTTCGCGGAACGCCAGGCGAGTGTCTTACCACTACACCACGGAGACTTCGTTTAGTACAACCACTATGCGCCCTTTGTTCACTTGAGATTTTATCATTAATACATCACCTTAATGTGTTTCTTTTTTACGCTATGTACCCGCAACCCGCGACTTCCAAACACAACCACTTTTAGCTCCCCCCCCCCTTCCCCCCCTCCCCTTCCCCCCCTCTCCCTTTGTACCACCTCCCCCTACCCCAACCCACGTCCCCTCCCCTCTCCCTCACCTCATCCTCCCTTCCTCTCTCCCCTCTCCCCTTCACCCTGCCCATTATCTCCGGTCTCTGCCACACCATTTGTCAAGGAACACCTGTGTGAACTGTGGTCTTCAAGGCCTGATGCACCTGTAGGTCCCTCCGCCACACCTGTAGGTCCCTTCGCCACACCTGTAGGTCTCTCCGCCACACCTGTAGGTCCCTCCGCCACACCTGAAGGTCCCTCCGCCACACCTGTCTCTTCTCTCACACTCACACACACGTGTGTGACCACACGTGACCAAAGGGATGGGACCAAAGAGCCAATGATCAACCCCCACAAGCACAATTAGGTGAGTACACGTGGGGCCTCACGGTTGAGTGGACAGCGCTCGGGGGTCGTAGTCCTGAGGTTCAGGATTCGATTCTCGGCAGAAACAAAAGGGCAGAGTTTCTTTCAGCCTGATGCCCTTGTTCACCTAGCAGTAAATTGGTACCTAGTTGTTAGACTGCTACTACGGGCTGCTTCCTGAGAGTGTGTGTGTGCGTGTGTTATAGAGAAATATATGTAATAGATATAATAGAGGAAAAATAGATTGCTTAGAAAGGCGGGGTCCAAGAGCTAAAAGCTCGATTCGGTAGATACAGATAGTAAATACACACACACACACACACACACACACACACACACACACACACACACACACACACACACACACACACACACACACACACACACACACAACAAGGGGCCTCGTAGCCTGGTGGATAGCGCGCAGGATTCGTAATTCTGTGGCGCGGGTTCGATTCCCGCACGAGGCAGAAACAAATGGGCAAAGTTTCTTTCACCCTGAATGCCCCTGTTACCTAGCAGTAAATAGGTACCTGGGAGTTAGTCAGCTGTCACGGGCTGCTTCCTGGGGTGTGTGTGTGTGTGTAGTGTGGGAAAAAAAAAAAAAAAAAAAAAAAAAAAAGTAGTTAGTAAACAGTTGATTGACAGTTGAGAGGCGGGCCGAAAGAGCAAAGCTCAACCCCCGTAAAAACACAACTAGTAAACACACACACACACACACACACACACACACACACACACACACACACACACACACACACACACACACACACAGGAGGAGGAGGCAGGAGTCACACTGCAGAAGGCTTCAGGATAAGTTGCCTAAGTATTGGGAACAGGGTGAGGGCTGTAAGTGGTGTCCCAGAATACCTGAAGGTATAGGGGAAGTTGATAAGTAACAAAGAAACAAGAAATAAGTGTGAGAGAAAAATCCGAGTTGGAAAAGTTGATATTCCACACAGAAGAATGTCAACAACAAAGATGGCGGCCACCACAGGGGAGGACAACACACTAACAAGTGACTGTTTGGAAGAGTTCTCAAGACAAGATATAATGAAAGATGGTTTTCATGCCAGGGTTAGTGATTAATGAGGACCTGCTGAAGAATTATGAAGAAAAAATGTTAATTTTTTAGAACAAAAAAAATGAAGGTCTGAAGATTGAGGTTCGTAACTTTAAAGGAAGTATTTTCCAGCAAGGTAAGGAAATTACCAGCTTGACTGATAAGGTAAGGACGCAGGAGGAACACATCAAGGAACTAGTGAAAGATAATGTGGCATGGAAAGTGAAGAGTGATGAATTTGCTGACATTAACAAGAAAATAGACTCATATGGTGAACAACTCCAAGGAACCCTGAGAGCTAACATAGAGTTAGGCAAGGATATGCAAAGAGAAACTTCATGGACAACTCACATAGAGGAGGTTAATAAAGAAGTAGACAAGTACACAGAAGAAATAAAAGAGACGTATGCACAAGTTGTAAAATAGAAAGAGACGATTAAGGTAGTGTGTGTGTGGAAGTCAAAACCAGAAATGACCAACAAGAAGCAGAAATTAGGCAAGCAGTTAGGAAAGCAGTTAGGAAAGCAGTTAGGAAAGAACTGGTTACCAACTGTAAATTGGCACAAAACACTGCAGGTAGAGGTAAGTCCATAATAATTTTTGGGTGTTTAGAAAAGGAAATATCATCTAGGGTGGACAGAGCAGCAGAAGAGATGAAAATCATAAAGAAAATAGTGGGTTTAGGAGAAGGTCTCAATTCAAAGGAAAATGTCAGTGGATATTTGTTTGTACCAACATAGATGTAGTGACTCTTCGTTCCGGTTGTGTCCCACTTCATGTGGCAACCCGTTCTCGCAAATTCGTAAAGTCAATATTGACTTATTAACTACGTGCATAGGTGATATACTAAACATAATAGATACCCTTAAACAGATTCATAGAAAACACCGACCTTACCTAACCTTGTTAGTATCTTAAGATAAGCATCTTATTGCTTCGTAATTACAATTATTACTTAACCTATACCTATTATAGGTTAGGTAATAATTGTAATTACGAAGCAATAAGATGCTTATCTTAAGATACTAACAAGGTTAGGTAAGGTCGGTGTTTTCTATGAATCTTTTTAAGGGTATCTATTATGTTAAGTATGTCACCTATGCACATATTTAATAAGTCAATATTGACTTATTAAATTTGCGAGAACGGGTTGCATGTGGACATCGCAAGAAAGATCCAAAAACACAACGCCTGTGAGCATAACTAACCAACACTCCCTACTGCTGTGTCCTTCAAAATAGACCTTTGGGGTCTCGAAAACTTCCCATAGAAATTTTGATAATCCATCGACCGTCTACTGGGCTTCTTGCTGGCGCAGAAAGGACCCAACTTTAGGAAGTCTGTGATGAAATGAAGTAGTAGTAGTAGGTCGACGTCTTCGAGAAGGGCCGGGTCGTAGGTGGGAATGGGAGACAAAAGATTAATCTTAACGATAATCCGTGCCAGAAAATTTATGTTATTCTGGCGACCTTGTCAGTCCTGGACTTGCTCCTTCACCACCTTAAAGTTGTCAATCGTTTTTTCCTCTTGTACATTTGGTCGGTGTAACAGAGAAGCGCCGAACATTATAAGAGAACACGCCAAGATTTTTAGAGCACCTTATCCAACCATTTTAAAGCGCACAAAACTTCGGTTAATTTTTTGTGTATCACAGATCTATTGTAGTTCATAGATGTAGTGAGAAAACAATTATTGGAGCTAAAAGATATAATTCAGCTTTTAGTTATTATCGCACTAACAGAGACGAAACTTGAAGAAAATATCTTAAATCAGGTCGTATCCCCAAATGACTCAGTTTGGAGACGTGACAGGAAAAACTAAGGAGGAGGGAGTGGCTGTGCTGGTGAAAGATCACCTGTAGGTAAGAGAGTTAATAATTGAAAACCCCTCAAGAAGTTGACTTAATGGCATAGCAAGTCTGGAATCAAGATGATAAACTGATAATCGTAAATGCCTACAGCCCACCAGCAAGCAACACATGGACAAAGGAGGGGCAACATAGTCGACGGGTCAACATAGTCGACGGGTCAACATAGTCGACGGGGCAACATAGTCGACGGGGCAACATAGTCGACGGGGCAACATAGTCGACGGGTCAACATAGTCGACGGGTCAACATAGTCGACGGGGCAACATAGTCGACGGGGCAACATAGTCGACGGGTCAACATAGTCGACGGGGCAACATAGTCGACGGGGCAACATAGTCGACGGGGCAACATAGTCGACGGGGCAACATAGTCGACGGGGCAACATAGTCGACGGGTCAACAGCGTCCACGTTGGGCATGACTGACTCATGCCCAACCATCAAAAGTAATGCTCAGTTGTGTTTAACCACATATACAAGCAGCCACACGCTTCAGATCGTATCAGAAGAACATTAACAATCCTTCAGTCATGTTATCATTCTGTTCTCCTTGTGTTCACTGCTAAACTAAAATCATACGAAATCGTCTGCGTATTAATATTTTTAACTCTGTGCTCCGCTGGGTACAGTTGTGAAGCTCAGATATTATTGTTCAGAGAGAGAGAGGAGGAGGCCTGGTCGAGGACCGGGCCGCGGGGGACGCTAAGCCCCGAAACCATCTCAAGGTAACCTCAAGGTATGACACCCTCAAGTTGATACCAGAGCCCGGTGCCTGAGAAGATGACTGAACACTGACTCTCTCCACCCAGACAAGATAAAAGATGTAAGTCACGTCATTAAAACAGCTAATTTTTTTTTCCTTTTTTTTTTGTTATCTTTGTTATCTTACACTAACTTTGGCAAGTTAGTGTAGCCGCAGATACACGCACCAAATATACCTTCCTCTCATATGACTAAATTAGAAAACACTGATATACAACCCATCAATTACCGTATTGGAAGTGGAAATTGATGAAAATATGTTCTTCACAAGACAAGTGAAAAATGTTGCAGCCAATGAAGGACAGCGCGCTACCTTAGTCACTAAATTATGTATAACGTCACACCTCCAAGATCAGATCCAAAATGAAGGAATCGCCAGTAATTTGGGGCTCCTGTCCACGGTCGTATGCTAAAGTCGTTAGAGCAAATTCAAGACAGGAACGCGAGCGGTAAGAAGCAACTGTGCTTGACCCACTGACAGACAGACAGACAGACAGACAGACAGACAGACAGACAGACAGACAGACAGACAGACAGACAGACGATCACACTCCGCAACAGAAAATACGTGGCTGGTATTTTGTGTATTGGACAAAGTTCACAAAATTTAAGCCTATCATTTTTATTCTCTTGAGTGTGGTGGGAAATGAGGCAAGTGAGATGATATATTTCCATTGCACAATTTTGCACAAATTTTGTCATTTCAACTTTCTTATCACATGAAACACCCAAAATGTTGGTAAACATTTTGGCTACAAACAAGCGACCGGAACTTACCAACACCTCAACAATTTACAACGCTTCATCTTACACATCAATAGCTCGTATCAAAATAGTATTCAATGAAAGCATAAAATCCCGATAGTGCCATAGACAACCGCACAGAAAATTACCATTTCACACTTACAAACTTCCAAGAAAAATACAATTAACGAACGAAATATTATTATTATTATTAGTAGTAGTAGTAGTAGTCGTAGTAGTAGTAGTAGTAGTCGTAGTAGTAGTAGTAGTAGTCGTAGTAGTAGTAGTAGTAGTCGTAGTAGTAGTAGTAGTAGTCGTAGTAGTCGTAGTAGTAGTCGTAGTAGTAGTAGTATATCAAGTTACTGAACAAATGGTGGTAGAGGTATGTGAGGCTCGTGTTCAAAGTTGATGGTTCAGGGCCGGGTCCCGGGGGCCACGGAGCTCTCTATAAGAACCTTCCAGGGCAGGCTGTGTGTGGACACGCAGCATGGAGACTATGACAACCTTCCAGCACAGACTGGAACACCAGGCTGTGTGTGGACACGCAGCATGGAGACTATGACAACCTTCCAGCACAGACTGGAACACCAGGCTGTGTGTGGACACGCAGCATGGAGACTATGACAACCTTCCAGCACAGACTGGAACACCAGGCTGTGTGTGGACACGCAGCATGGAGACTATGACAACCTTCCAGCACAGACTGGAACACCAGGCTGTGTGCAGACACGCAGCATGGAGACTATGACAACCTTCCAGCACAGACTGGAACACCAGGCTGTGTGTGGACACGCAGCATGGAGACTATGACAACCTTCCAGCACAGACTGGAACACCAGGCTGTGTGTGGACACGCAGCATGGAGACTATGACAACCTTCCAGCACAGACTGGAACACCAGGCTGTGTGTGGACACGCAGCATGGAGACTATGACAACCTTCCAGCACAGACTGGAACACCAGGCTGTGTGCAGACACGCAGCATGGAGACTATGACAACCTTCCAGCACAGACTGGAACACCAGGCTGTGTGTGGACACGCAGCATGGAGACTATGACAACCTTCCAGCACAGACTGGAACACCAGGCTGTGTGCAGACACGCAGCATGGAGACTATGACAACCTTCCAGCACAGACTGGAACACCAGGCTGTGTGTGGACACGCAGCATGGAGACTATGACAACCTTCCAGCACAGACTGGAACACCAGGCTGTGTGTGGACACGCAGCATGGAGACTATGACAACCTTCCAGCACAGACTGGAACACCAGGCTGTGTGTGGACACGCAGCATGGAGACTATGACAACCTTCCAGCACAGACTGGAACACCAGGCTGTGTGCAGACACGCAGCATGGAGACTATGACAACCTTCCAGCACAGACTGGAACACCAGGCTGTGTGTGGACACGCAGCATGGAGACTATGACAACCTTCCAGCACAGACTGGAACACCAGGCTGTGAGTGGACACGCAGCATGGAGACTATGACAACCTTCCAGCACAGACTGGAACACCAGGCTGTGTGCAGACACGCAGCATGGAGACTATGACAACCTTCCAGCACAGACTGGAACACCAGGCTGTGTGTGGACACGCAGCATGGAGACTATGACAACTTTCCAGCACAGACTGGAACACCAGGCTGTGTGCAGACACGCAGTATGGGTGTGAGTAAGATAACCTGTTGACAGGTATTAATCATAAGTTGTTTGGATTAATCCGACTTACGGAACATGAGCTGTCAGTTCTCAAATAAAGGTAAATTACTAAATTTTTACGAATGGAAGGAGAGGCAAGGATGCAGGGAGTAAAGAGAGGAGTGAGGGGTAAAGAGAAAGAAAAGGGATGAAGAGAGGGAGCAAGAAGTTTAAGAAAGGGGAGAGAGGTAAAGACACGAAAGAGGAACTTACGAACCTGGGGTCAGATTCACGAAGCAGTTACGCAAGTACTTACGAACCTGGGGCTAAGGAAGGGTAAAAGGAGAGTAAAGATATGAAAAGCTGTTTTATAAAATAATATCCTGTAC